GCAGGCTGTGAAGAGGATTTTCCGGTACCTTAGAGGTACATCTGACGTTGGTCTCATTTATGGAGGTGATACTCAGTGTTTGGTTACATGATATTCTGATTCTGATTATGCTGGAGATGTTGACACAAGAAGATCGATGACTGGCTATGTGTTTACTCTTGGAGGTTCTGTTGTAAGTTGGAAGGCAACTTTGCAACCTACAGTGACTTTGTCAACTACGGAAGCAGAGTACATGGCCTTGACAGAAGCTGCGAAGGAGGGAATTTGGTTAAAAGGGTTGGTTAGTGATCTTGGTCTGCATCATGATAAGGCTACAGTGTACTGTGACAGTTTGAGTGCGATTTGTTTAGCCAAGGATCAAGTTCATCATGAGAGAACCAAGCATATTGACGTGAGATATCATTTCTTAAGGAGTGAGAGGAGAATCCAAGTGAAGAAAGTAGGAACTGCTGATAATCCTGCTGATATGTTCACAAAGCCAGTTCCGCAAAGCAAGTTTCAACACTGTTTGGACTTGCTTAACATCAGAAGTTTTTAGTAGCCCTGCGGGGCAACTCTGAGGAAGAGGGGGAGGCCGGGCACAATCAAAGTGCGTCTGAATCTGAAGGATCTGTATGGAGAATTCAAGTCAAGGTGGAGATTTGTTGTAATGCCTTGAATCTGACTCGTTACAACATCCAGAGAAGTCCAACTTCTGAGAAATCCGAATTCCGGAGAAGTCGAGAAATCCGAATTCCGGAGAAGTCGAGAAATCCGAATTCCGGAGAAGTCGAGAAATCCGATTTCCGGAGAAGTCAAGAAATCCGAATTCTGAGAGGTCCGAATTCTGAGGTGTCCGAACCCCATTCTATTTGGGCTTGTTTAATTATCTGTTAATTCTGTATTTTTGGGCCTAAGTCTGTTAGGGTTTCGCCAAGCACTATTTATATGGGTGCTACCACAAACCCTAGTTGTTGTACTCTGTTCTTGCCTCTCCAAATCAGAAATAAAACTGCTCCCCCTCTTCCCCGTGGATTAGCCAACACAACGTTGGTGAACCATGTTAAATCTGTTGTCGTGTTTTCTAGTTTATATTTTTCTCTTATTCTCGAATTCTGCACAACAGTACCTTTTCCCAAGAAACCAAGTTTTACGATAGTCCGTCACCGCCAGGCGCCGGTCTTCTTCGTCGACGGTTGACCGTCACATATCATAATCTCGTCGTCCCTTATTCTTTACTTTCTCTCTAAAGTATATTTTGTTGTAAGTGAAAATTTTGAAAGAGAAAGTCTTTTTAGAATAGAGGGAGTATAATTTTTGTTATATTAAGAATAAAATTAGGGTAGAAATATAAATTGACTTATTTGCTTTACTCTATTCCTATATAAAGATAGTTGAACCTTTGTAATCTCCAAGACAATTTAATATACAAAATATTTTCTCTCATTTATTTTTTTCTACATAGTTTATCCAAACAAATTCGACTTATGCCTTTTTTCTTTTTAAATATTTTTCTTAATATTAGTTCAAATAAAAATAGGTTGGAGTAAGTGAGACGAAGGGAGTATATAGTAAAAAGACCTAACATTAGAAAGTTGTACTTGTGATCAATTTATTTTTACATCAACTCAATCAAATTTGGATCATCTTGTTCAATTCTCGAAGGGAAAAAGACTAAAGTAAGAATAAAATATTGAAAATATACTAAAATAAGAGTTTCATGTGTTTCTTCTCGAAATAGGAGTCAAAAGGTATAGAAAAATGTGCATGTAGAGTGTCACATTACATCAGTGCAAACTCCTATTTAGGAAATAAAAATATGGAATCTCTACTTTGATACTTTCTTTATGTTTTGCTCTTATTTAGAGTGATTTTCTTATTATCGAAATCAAATTTGATGAAAGAAAAAAAAGGTGTCAACCATATTAAAGGATCTGTTGAAGATGTGTATTCATCTAATTTTACTTTTTGATTTAAAATAGATGAATTTTAGAACACGATCACCTAGATTTTAGCTGAGGATAGCGTATTCAATGAACTTTAGCGCTAAGCCGCTAATGCTAAAATTCCTGTGAGACTTTTCAATAACACTAATTTCTAATGCTAACGTTAAACTGGACCTCAATCTATGGAGCTATGCCTTCCCATAATGGGAGGGAGAGAAAGGAGAGGTTACCAGATCATCAACAACCACTGCTCGTACATATAATTTATAAAAATTAAAGAACCTCACATTACATACACTATTTCCCATTTTATTTTATTTTTGCACAAGCTTACAAAAGTTTCCAACTGGTACAGCGCAATCCTGTTTCCCCCCTTCTCTTCTAACTTCAACTCAATCAATCTCTCCCCCTATTATGAGCTCGTAACTTAATTGGGCAATAGTAACGATCACGAAAAATAATACTCCCTCATTCCTATGAAACATGAGACTTTTGCTTTTTAGGAGGGATTTAAGGGAGTGTATTTTGGTATTGAATTTCCAAAAATGTCCTTTGATGTGATGGGTAAAAATATGATTTGATGGATAGATTATTAGTAAAAAGGTATGATGTGATAGTTATGGTATGAAAAAGTAAGGGGTAAAAGTGACTTTTTAATAGAAATAAAAAGTGTTTTGTGAGACGGATAAAAAAAAGAAAGGAGAAAGGTTTCATGGGACGGAGGGAGTACGTTTTATGAAAAAACATACAATTCTTTGGGTTTCAAATTATGACATAGTTAAACTTTGTTCACTTTCTTTCCTTATTTTTGTTACTTATTTGATAAAATGATACTGTCATGTTATCTCTTGTTTCGTAGAGCTTTTGGTGTAGTTTTTTAATATGTAAATTTTTTTTAATTCCGCTCCATTTGCCTTATAAATTAGATTGAAAATAACTTTAATCAAACAATATTGTAAACCAAAATATGCAATTTAAATTGAGACGGAGGGAGTAATATAAATTGAACAAGTTCATCCTTTAAAAAAAAATCATTTTCCCATCCCCACACTTGCATATTTCCCCACTATAAATAATTTAACTCCACTTCCCTTTCAGCTATATCAAATCATTTATTTATCACACATCTTGGAAGCCTAATAATAAGCTAAGAACTAGCTAGCCCTAGCCTTAGCCATGGCCACCACCACCACCGTCTTCTCCCTCCTCCTCCTCCTAGCCACACTCGCCGCCGCATGCGGCGCCGTTCCGTGCAAGCAGCCGGCGGGGGCAATCCCAATTACAAAGCCGCCGCTGCAGGGTACCGGTCACAGGGGGTTGCCGGTGAACCCGTACTGCCCGAGGGACACCCTCAAGCTGGGGGCGTGCGCCGACCTTCTGGGAGGGCTGGTGAGCGTGGAGATCGGCCACGCGCCGACGAGCCCCTGCTGCACCTTCCTTGAAGGCCTGGCGGACGCGGAGGCGGCGGCCTGCCTCTGCACCGCCCTGAAGGGCAACGTCCTCGGCCTCAACATCCAAGTCCCCGTCGCTCTAAGCGCCCTCGTCAGCGCTTGCCAGAAGACCATCCCTCCCAGCTTCAAGTGCCATTAATTATTCATTTAAATAAATTAAATCCCAAGATTCATAATTTGTTGCATTGTTATTATCATTGTTGTTGTTGTTTCATTGATCTCTTTGATTGAAATCTTATGTAATGTGTGTGTGTGTGTGTGTTGTAATGTTTGGTCGTCATGTACGTACGTTCATTCACTTTCATATTGGAATCAAAGGATGGGAGTTTTAAAAAAATTAAATGTTCAAATGACAAGAGGAGAATATACTAAAATGTTCTTCAGAGATGTTATTCGCACTGTCAAATCTTAATTATTTTTTTACATATTTAACACAATGAGATAAATTTTTTCAAAAGACCAGCTTGGACATCAAAAGATTGAACAAAACAACAAAGCTTGAGGAAGCCGCTACCATCGTTATCCAAGTGTCATCTAGACACTTCAATTTTGATAAGAGAGAAAATATTCTGTATATTGAATTGATCTGTGCTTACAAAGGTCTAACCCCCTTTATATAGGAAGAGAGTAAAGCATTTAAGTAAACTTTTATTCCTACCATATTTCTATTCCTACTATAACAAGAACTAAGCAAACTAGGAAAGATACTAAACCGAATCCCAAAGGGATTCAGTTTTCTTCTTTGATCCGGCTTCCTTCTTCTGTCGCCAATACCCCCCCTCAAGCTGGAGCTTGGGAGTTCAACATGCCCAGCTTGGACATCAAAAGATTGAACAAAGCAACAAAGCTTGAGGAAGCCGCTGCCATCGTTGTCCAAGTGTCATCT